AATAAATAATTTAATGAATTATTAATGAATTTTTAATGAATAGTTTTGATGAATAGTTGACGAATGTTTGACGAATGGTTAACGAATGGTTGACGAATGGTTTACAAATAGTTAACAAATAGTCGACGAATAGTTGACGAATAGTTGACGAATAGTTGACGAATGGTCAATGAATTTTTGATGAATAGTTGCAAATATAGTTGACGAATAGTTGACGAACATCTTTTTTGTGTATGGTCAGAGAATCAGCAGAAAGAGTTAGTTTTTTATAATATAATTATAAATTAAAATAAAATAAAATAAAAATAATATTATGAAAAAAAATTTTTAATCTATTATTATGTTATATGGCTTAATTTTTATTAAAAAGTTTATATAATTATTTATAATATTATAGATTTTTTATATAATAATTAACTTATTATTATACTGAAGTACTCTGAGTTGGGTTTAAAAATAATATTTTATTTTCTTACAGAATTGATATAAACTTCTATTCTTTAGATTCATTATTATTATAAATTGTTTAAAAATTATGAACTGTTAAATTAATAAAAAGAAAAAAATATATATATATATAATTCAAGTTTTTTCAAAAAGTTTATCAACTAAATAACTTTTTTTAAAAAAAGATTTATTTAATTTTATTTCTTTTTAAATCTTGAAAGAAATCTTTTTTGTTATCACTTATAATATTGGACAAGTTAATTTAACCAGATTTACTATTTAAGCAAATACCAGATTAAAATAACTTAACTTAAAAAAAATTCAAAGATCTTAATTTTTAATTAAAAAAGTTTTTTTTTAATTATTTTTAATATTATTAAAACACAAACTTAAAAAGAATAGAATTTTATAATTCATATTATCTATCTTTTATCTTTGGATATTCTGAATACCTTTCTTAAGAATTTAAGACTTTTAAAAAAGAATAATTTTTAAAACTTTCTTTTTAATTATTTTTAATATTATTAAAACACATTAATATAGTTAATAAAAGCTTATTTACATTCTATAAACTAACACATTTAATGTCAACTATTTATTTTTGTCAAGAATTTATACTAATCTAAATTTAGGATCAAATTAAAATATATAAAATTTTTTAGAAAATTATAAGAGTGAAAGTTTTAAGAGGATTAAGATAGTTAGAAAGAAAAAAAATAAGATTTTTTATTATAACAAAACTCCTATAATCTCTTATTTCAAAAATTGAAAAAATCTTTAGATATTTCACAATAAATTCTTCTTTATTTTAAAATATTCATAACATTAGTATCAAAGGTATTACTTGACTTTTCTTGATTATTAAAAATCAAGTTTTTAAGTAAAATAATTTATAAATAAAAAAGAAAGAGTAGAAATAACTTTTGAAATAATATTTCAAGTTGTTTTAATAAAAGTATTAAGATTTTATTAGTAACAAAATAAAAAAAACTTCTTATAAACAAACCAATTTTTTTTTTTTTTTTGTATATAATTAGAGATAAATATAGGTTTTTAAAGAAGGAAACAAGAATAAAAATCAAATATTTTTCATTAAGAAACATAAAAAATTTTAAATTAATAACTATAAAAAATTAATTACAATTGTTTTCTATTATTCAAATCATTAATTTATAGTATTTTTCAACTTTTATTTCTATTAAAGTGAAGAGTTATGAATTTTGTTTCTCAAAAAAGAACATTTTTTTTTTTAAAAAAACTTTCTTACTATTAATTATAAGAATATTTTAAATTTTAATTATCAAAAGTTAAAAAGATTTATAAACAAGCAAAGAAATATAAGAATAAGAATTATTTCAATTGAATTAATTTACTATATACATTAAATTTATAGAAATTGATTTTCAAAAATAAAATGACTTGAAAGAATAATAACTTGATAATCTGTATTATATTAAAGTCTTGTATAATCAATCAATAAAAACGTCATGGTGATCTAATTGTGAATTAAGTGAATAATTTGTAATAGTCATATATAAAATATGGTACATACGCATGTCATGTACTGTATATAAATCCCATGATATTTAAATACACAATCCTTGTCACAATGGAAGACAATCATTCGTCTACCGCACAGTTCAAAAAATTTCTGGCGCAATACGCCTACTCGCCAGATAAAAACCACCTATCCGCGGAACGGGTAACTTCTCATGGTGACAAAACGCGCGAAAGAAGTAAACCAAAATTTGCAAAAATAAAGAATCGAAAGCGTGAGGTACTCGATAATTCGCCGACTCCAACTGTTAAGACTAGTGTTTCTAGTAATCCCGATATCATTGGTTTCAATTTGAAAGGTAATTGGTTACCCTTGAAATTACTCAAAAATCGACTCTGATGTAATCCTTCAAACCGTCATTTCTAGTATTGTTCGTGGGTATTAACCCCGGAAAAAGAAGTGCGCAAGTTGGACATCATTTTGCTCATCATTCGAATCACTTTTATCCATGCCTCATCGAAAGTGGATTCACCAACGGTGAAATTATCAATTATGAGGATGACATAACGTTACCAAAAAGATTTAATATTGGCATTATTAATGTCGTTGGCCGAGATACACGTTCTTCCGCAGTGAGCATTCAATAACAATCTACCCTCTTTGTTGCACGATTTCAACTTAATATTTTTTTGAAATCAATATAGGATTTATCGACGACCGAACTACGAAATGGAATTCCTTCCGTGATAAAAAAAGTTAAATTGTATAGACCCGAATTTTTATGTTTTATAGGTAAATGTGGGTTCGATGCATTTGAAGTAGTCTACCGAACGCATGATACCAAAAAATCGCAAGGTTATGGTTTACAATTATTAAAAATACCTTGGGAAGACGACGACGACCCAGGTCAAAATGAAAAAAATGAGGAACGATCCACAAAGATTTTTTGCATTCCTTCAACAAGTGCTAGAGTAAAGCATTACCAAAAATTAGATAAATTAAAATACTTTAAAGAATTAAACAAACTAGTCAACTATGAAAAAAAAGAAGGGTTTACGGCAGACGGATTTTGACTAATGAAATATTTCATTTAAACAAAAAAACGTACGACAAATAAATTATGATTGCAACCTGTTTTTCTTTGAGGTTGCGACTAAACTTCACTGAAACCTCTTTCCCTCTGTAGTTTTGCAATGTGTAAGGCGTCAGATGACGTCCTTTTTGCTGATTTTCTTTTTTATTGTGTATAAACAAATCTCTGTATTTTTCAAGTGGTAAATTACAAATCCTTTTTTTTTTTTTTTTTTTTTTTTGGCGTTTCCCTCCAACTAATTTATCGAATAGAAAGTGAAAGTTCAAAGGAAGGATAGAATTAGAGGTGTAATAGGTTATTCAGAAAATGACAGTAATTCAAGAAGGTAATTTGAAGCTTTTTTCTGTATCGTTAATTTTAAACAAAATAAAAACGTAAAAGCGGAGAAAAGGGGATACATAATTTGAAATCGCAACTCCCTTAAACCAGGCTATGTCCGACGAGCGAGAAATCGAACCTCTTGCCCAATTTATCTATCTACAAATATCGATCAAGAGAATCCAAAATCGTATAATTTATAGAATCTGACATTTTGGTTTTCTCTTCTTTTTAGATTCTCGTCCTCCCTCTCTATTTGACCGTATCATTCTAACCACTGTGTAAAACGCCCTTTCCACATTTACGCATGTCTTTGCCGAACTTTCGATGAACTCACATTTGAGTTTTCTTGCCATATTCATGCCCTCTTCTCTAGAGACTTCACGCTCGGTAATTTTATCACATTTGTTCCCAACGAGCATAAGGGGGACTGCGTCAGTATCTTTGACTCGAGTAATTTGATCCCGAAATCGCTCTACTCGTTCGAATGTTGACCGGGAAGATATAGAATAGACAAGAAGGAATCCTTCACCATCCCTGTACGGTAAAACAAATGCGCAGGATCCTGACATTATTACACACGTGCTTTTGTATTTACACAAATAATTGAAATATCCTTGCGTTACCTAATCCATTGATCACGAAGTGCCGTATATTCCTCTGTCAATAAAGAGGAATAAAAGTAAGAAAACTACTACTCAAAACATCTAATAAACGGTATAATTCCTTATTGTGGTGGAGCTCACGAACACGTTAACTCATACTTTAACATATAATTAAAGCGTGAAGCTGTCCATTTAGGAAACGATATTATGTACAACGCACATACCCTGTCCAGCGGTATCTAATACCTCCAGTACACAAGGCTGGTCGTCAATTACGACTTGCTTCCGATATGAGTCTTCGATTGTTGGATCGTAGGTCTATTATTAGGATCGCATATAATAAAATTCATTAAAAATTAAATAATCCAATTTGCAAGATTTTTATTTACAAAACATACCTCTATAAAAATAATAAGTTAATTGTATGGATTATATAAATAACTAGAAAATTCGTGGTTTCAGCACAGTCAGGAAAACCTTCGTTTCTACCTACCAACAAAATGATTCAGACACAACTATATTCAAAATCAGAAGTGAAATCAATTTTCCAATTAAGCATTTAACATAAACCAAACTAAAGCTTCGATGTTTACAAACCTGAATTGTAAGAGCCGTCTAAATACAAGTAGAAGAAATTGAGCATAAAATAATTTCACAAAGATACACAATAGGTTTAGCACAAAGTGCATGGTACCTTGCCAACACCGCCGTCCCCAAGAACTACTAACTTATACAACATCATCTTGGCAAATACGTATTATGTGTAATGAGAAATGGCTTATGTCTAAGGGAATAGCAATTGTCAGGATTTTAACGAAGGGACGGTCCTTGAGTAGGACGTCTTATTAGTTCTGTATATAATAACAAAGAATTTAAAAGACTTCACGAATGAAAGTTAATTTGTCCAATGTTAAACCTCACTCCCGTCAATGTGTTCGGTTGGTGGTACGTAGACACAAAATACATACGTAATTGGATTGTTTCATCCCCACCGAGTTGACAAAATTCTGGGAAAATTTTATTGAGTACGCATCACATTAAAAGATTTATACATGTCACGTTTCACAGATTCAAGTATGAGGAAAATTTTCATTGCCAATAATGGAAAGTAATATAACCAAATCAATACGTTAATATAAAATAATGTAATTGTTAAAATATATTATTAATAATATACTTAATATACTGTATATATATATGTATATATATATACAGTATACAGTATATACAGTATATCCTTTTAAAGATATTAAGAAAAATCGAATAATATCTTTTTATTTATAATAAAAAAAATTTAAGAATATAATATTAAAAAAAAATTTTTTTTAAAAAAATAAATATAATATATAAATTTTTATATAATAAAAAAATTATCTTAAATTTTTAGATAATATTCAATTTATATATTAGATTTAAAAAATTATTAAAATTCAAATAAACAGGTTTTTAAATAATAAAAAGCTAATAATTATTCATGTTAAAATTCTTAATAATAGTTTTTTTTTTATTTTAATTAAATCTTATAATAATAAGTTTTTTAAATTAATATAATTTAAAAATCATTAATAAATAAAAATTTGATAAAAATATATAGTAGAGAACAAAAAAATTGCTTAAATTTTTTAAAAAATTAAAATTTTATTATAATTTAAAATTTTTCTATTTAAAAAATATAAAAAAATATGACTAATATAATTGTATCATATATTAAAAAAAAAAACTCTTTCCGCTGATCCCCAATTTTTCAGAAAATTTCCTTTTTTGATAATTTTTTGAGAAAAAGAGAAA